TCTAGAGGATGCGATTCAAGTTTCTCCTTGCCCTGGTGATTTCAACATGGTCACACCCATCTCCATCCATTCACATTTTCCTTTCCTTTTTTTTTTCTTTTCAGTGACTTCACTCTTCAAGTGGATGTAAACCACTGCTGGGATTCTTATTTTCTGGGAACTCATTGGGAAACTTAAGTCAGGTCTAGAAGTTTCTGCCACCTCCCGTTGCTGCCTGCTTCACCTGTGAAGCATGTCATGGAGAAATAGGGTCTGTCCTGAACCAACAGATTTCCTTGTGCCTTGTTAAGGGGAATTTTAGTACCTTGATCTGGGAGGGATCAGGGCCACTGTGGCAGCGGCTATGCTGGAGACCCTGCTGCAGCCACCTCAGGAAGTGGTGCCTGGAGCCGGGGCAGAAGGATGGAGGAGGAGGAGGCAAAGGACCACTGGGTCAGCAGCTATTTGGGGGAGGAAATAGTTCCCTCATGGCTTGTGTTTCATACTGCCCTGTCTGACCATGGTATCACTGTAAACTGGAAACTGGATTTTCCCTGCCATCTCTTGCTTTGGTACCTTCTCACTTACTGTGTGTTCCAGCTGGCAGGAAGCTAGTCCCTTCTCCCATTGCATACTGAGGGTTGCCCCATGCCCTGCCAGTGCACAGGTTATTCCCTGCAAAAGAATGGGGCCTTAAATGGAGGTTGGGAGGTTATTTTCTCTTGTGCAGTGAATGGTTTTCGCATGCTCTTTCCATCTCTGTGAGCAAAGTCTCTGTTGTGGGTTTCATCTGGGGCAGGGCATCAGGGAGCATCCTCCATTAATCTACTGCAGAGTCATTTGAAGCTTTTGTGCTGGTAGATGTGCCTAATATCTCATTTGGGAGCTCTTGCCAGCCCCAGCAACGCGATGATAGGCTTTGGCAACCGGCACAGGGGATGTTAAAGTCCTTTTCCATCCTTTGCCCAGGCTGCTGGCTGCCTCAGATTTTACAGATGTTTCAGCAGAACTGAGGGATTTGGAGGAGGGGAAGGTGATGGATGAATAGGTGTGCTGCGTCATCTGCCATCACATCAGGTCATCGAAGATGCCAAAGCTGTACCGCAGGCTGGAGACTGCCATCAGCCAGCTGTGGGAATGCAAATATTTCCCAAAAATCCAGTGACCTGGGTAGGGTAGGGTTGAGTATGGTGGGGTGGGATTGAGTTGGATAGAGTGAGTGCTGTGTGCCAACTTCTGCTGCCCATAAGGAGGATGCAGCACCTTCTAAATGCTTGATGCAAGGACACTTCTAGGCAAACTTCAGCACCTTTATTTAGGGTGAGGCACAGAGGGTCTGGCATAAAGTTATTTTAATGAATGTTGTTGAGTGCCTTTGCCATTATGGTACTGTCTCTGACTTGAAAGGATTTGTTCTGAGTCACTGGCTCTTGAATATTTAAAACGCAAGCACAAAGCACCATCTTTTTTTAAACAAGGCTCACAGCAACATATCAACTGACTGGACAAAAATGTGGCCACCAGTAACTTCCCCCCCTGAAATGCACGGCAGTGTCTGATGCCAGGGTGAGCGAGATGGTGTTTGCCAAGTTATTTAGTGGAAGTGCTTTAGGATGGGGACAGAGACAGAGCTCTTACAAAGCTGCTGTGGTTCAGGGAGAGTTCTGGTCCAGTGCGACGCCTCTGGGTTTGGTGTTTGTGTGCCTCTGACTCAGGTCGTTGGTGAATTCTGGGGTGCTTGTGCTAGGTCCCGCCCAGCAGCATCCTATCCAAGGTATTTCTGGCTTGTGGCTCTTGGAAATGACATATAGGCCTTTCTTTTTCTTTCCTCTCTGGCTCCAGGTGGTACAAGCTGCACTCCAAGCCTGGGAAGAAGGAGAAGGAGCGTGGTGAGATCCTGGTGAGCATCCAGTTCACACGCAACAACCTTACAGCCAGCATGTTTGACCTGTCCATGAAGGACAAGCCGCGGTCGCCGTTTGGCAAGCTGAAGGACAAGGTGAAGGGCAAGAAGAAATACGATTTGGAGTCAGCCTCTGCCATCATCCCCAGCAGCATGGGCGCCCTCGACATGGAGGATGACTACGACATTGGGGGAAAGAAGTCCAAAGTCAAGGGCTTCTTCTTGAAGAATAAGTTGCGCAAGTCATCCCTGACGCAATCCAACACCTCCCTGGGATCTGACAGCACCATCTCTTCTGCCAGCCTGGGCTTGGCTGCAAATGTTCCTGAGGTAACCAAATCCCCGAGCAGACACAGCAGTCTGTCCACTGAACGCTCTGGTAAGAGGATAACGGTTTTAATTTTTCCCCCTTCTTTTTTTTTTTGTAAGGGGCTTTTGAGGCTTTCCTGCAAATCCGTTAACTAATTGCTTACCTAAAAGCGGCATCCTGCACAAACCCTCTGAGACCTTCTGCCTGCTGGCAGTAACCTGCTGACCAGAACTGGGGGAGACATCTAAGATTTTGCTTCTCATGTTGAGCCCGTATATGAACAGCCTGACTTACACTGATGCTGCACGTGCTCCCTGCAGCGCAGCGTGAGCTTGCAGGCTACGAGGGTGCTTTAGGACCCTTTCTTCTCTACCCCCCTAAAGTGGCTAGCACTGACTTGTAGCAGTGAGCCCCTGGGAGAGGGCTGGGACGAAGCAGAGCACGTTGCCAGGCTGCTGCCCGGCTCGGAGGCAAAGCTGAAACAGTGACCGGTTCCCGGTGATTAAAGCAATCTGAGCTCTTGGCGCTTGGAGAGCAGCGATTTGCAAACAAAAAAGGCCCTTGTAGTGGATTAATTCTTGCCATCCCTTGAAGACAAAATATATAATTAAATGGTTTAATTGGCTGGAGACAGCAAATTCCCATATAGGGTGGGATTCCCTGGGTACATGCTGCTTCTCACCACGCTGGCGAAGCTCCCCACGTGATGCCTCTCGGTTTCTGGGGGGGTGACGTTCCTGTGCATGGCTGGAGAGAGAGTGGGGGCACCGGTCTGGCCCTGTCATCCATATGTCATGGTGAAGGAGTGTCAAGATTTAACCCCAGCTCACTCACTGCTCCCTCTTGGGATGGGGGGAAGTCTCAGAACAGTGGAAGTGAGAACACTCGTGGATTGAGATAAAAACAGTTTAATAGGTAAAACAAAAGTTGTGCACGCAAGCAAAGCAAAGCCAGTAATTCATTCACTGCTTCCCATCAGCAGGCAGGTGTTCAGCCATCTCCAGGAAAGCAGGGCTCCATCATGCATAAGGGTTACTTGGGAAGAGAAACACCATTGCTCTGAATGTCCTCCCTTCCTTCTTCTTCCCCCAGCTTTATATACTGAGCATGACATCACATAGTATGGGACATCCCTTTGGTCATTTGAGGTCAGCTGTGTCCCAGCTGTATCCCCTCCCAGCTTCTTGTGCACCCCCAGCCCACTCACCTGTGGGGTGTGTGGAGCAGAAGAGGCCTTGACTCTGTGTCAGCACCACTCAGCAGTGACTAAAACATCCCTGCATTATCAATACTGTTTTCAGCACAAATCTGAAACATAGCTCCATAGAAGCTACTGTGGAGAAAATTAACTCTATCCCAGCCAAAACCAGCAAAGGAGACTGCATTTCTGGTTAGGAGGGGAGAGCAGTTGCGTGTCATCTAAAGTTGAGGCAATCCTTCTCACTGGGCTCTCCATGTAATGCTAAAAATCTGCTGAGCGTTAGCAATAGCCACAGGGTCAGGCAGTGGGAGGGGGAAGCAGGGGCTGGACCCTCCCCTTCTGGTTCATATCACACAGAGCAGTGGCCTGGCCTGTCAGAGTGGAGCTCAGGGGCTCGGCGTCTTTTATTCAGTTCAAACTCTTAAGTCACACGGAAGCATAAGCCCTTTAAGCAGCTTCTGGGTAGTTTGTTGCATTTATTATCGATCTGAGGTCCTCTCAGACAAGAGTTTTTTCGTCTTACAGAGACTCCTCTCTGGATCCTGCAGTGGGACATGATGTGCTTGGGAAGAATATCATATAGCTTGTACAGCCACATACTTGTGACCCATGCTTTGCATTACTAATAAGTTAATTATAATCCAGTAGAGCCTGGGAGAGAGAAAGCCGGTATGGTTTCACAGATCTCCTTAGTGTTTGCAAGTAGAAGATAACAATGTTTTTCATGCTTGTGCCTGTTACTCAGATGATCTCACCTCTATTTTGTGTTTTATTTTCCCACAGTGAAAGACTACTTGCCGTCTCCAAAGCTGACCCACAAGAGAGCATTCAGTGATGATGTCTCCCAAGTCAGCCCGGTCCTGGAGCCAAAAGCAATCCAAAGCCTGAAGCCAAAGAATGATCCTGTGTCCAGGTCTTCCCTCTGCATCAATGGGAGCCACGTTTACAACGACGAGCCTGCACCAAAGAGCCCCGTGTCTGTCCCTCAGAGCGGAGACTGCATTTCTGGTTAGGAGGGGAGAGCAGTTGCGTGTCATCTAAAGTTGAGGCAATCCTTCTCACTGGGCTCTCCATGTAATGCTAAAAATCTGCTGAGCGTTAGCAATAGCCACAGGGTCAGGCAGTGGGAGGGGGAAGCAGGGGCTGGACCCTCCCCTTCTGGTTCATATCACACAGAGCAGTGGCCTGGCCTGTCAGAGTGGAGCTCAGGGGCTCGGCGTCTTTTATTCAGTTCAAACTCTTAAGTCACACGGAAGCATAAGCCCTTTAAGCAGCTTCTGGGTAGTTTGTTGCATTTATTATCGATCTGAGGTCCTCTCAGACAAGAGTTTTTTCGTCTTACAGAGACTCCTCTCTGGATCCTGCAGTGGGACATGATGTGCTTGGGAAGAATATCATATAGCTTGTACAGCCACATACTTGTGACCCATGCTTTGCATTACTAATAAGTTAATTATAATCCAGTAGAGCCTGGGAGAGAGAAAGCCGGTATGGTTTCACAGATCTCCTTAGTGTTTGCAAGTAGAAGATAACAATGTTTTTCATGCTTGTGCCTGTTACTCAGATGATCTCACCTCTATTTTGTGTTTTATTTTCCCACAGTGAAAGACTACTTGCCGTCTCCAAAGCTGACCCACAAGAGAGCATTCAGTGATGATGTCTCCCAAGTCAGCCCGGTCCTGGAGCCAAAAGCAATCCAAAGCCTGAAGCCAAAGAATGATCCTGTGTCCAGGTCTTCCCTCTGCATCAATGGGAGCCACGTTTACAACGACGAGCCTGCACCAAAGAGCCCCGTGTCTGTCCCTCAGAGCTCTGCGCCACAGTCTGTGCCCGGCGTTCCCAGACGGCAGGAGGAAGGCTTCGGCTTCACCCCCCTCCATCCCGACTCCCATGAGGTGCCTTGGGGGGTCAGCAACTTGGAGAGGACACAGCAGAGAGATGAGCCCAGGTTCATCCCGTCTCCTCCCACCTTAGCCTTGCAAGAGGAGCTCAAGGTTTCCACGAAAGCTGTCACTCTCAGTAACCATCTGGGCAGAGCCAAGATGGAGGAAAACAATCGCTTAGAGAACAAGCCGACACAAGCTGCAACACCCATGGTCTTCTCCACAGAGACGATGAAGGAGAAACAACCTGAGGAAACAAAGAAGGAAGACAAGAAAGCGAAGGGCGGACTATTCCACCACGGAGGCAACAAGAGTGACGTGGGGAGCAAAGGCCAGGGGGAGAAAGTGGGACCCTCCCATGGCTCATCCGTCCACACGACAGCAGGGAAAGATGAGAGGAATAAGACCGGTGGCTGGTTCGGTTCAAAGGAGCCCAAAGAGTCCCCTCAGAAACCCAGGTCAGTGAGATGGGTGTGTTGATGTCTAGGCCATTAATTACCTGCTCCAGCCTCCCGTCTTCAAGAGCTGTGCTGTTAAATACTCTCCAGCATCAGTGGAGGATTGGTCTCTGTTGCTCAGACAAGATGATAGCGGGGGAAATCCTTCCTTGGTCTTAAATGTCTCAAAGGAAGGGTGATTTTTCCTGGATCCTCCCCTGGCTTCTATCACAAACCAACTCCAGTTGCCCTCCCAGGCCATGTTTCCTGGTTGGGGAAGGGAGGGATCCCCTTCATGGAGAGGGAGACATTTCCCTTTGCAGAGGTGAGGCTCATTGCGGTCACGCCAAGTGTTTCTGTGGCCTCAAAGTAAAGGATCATTATCCTTTAATTAGATAAAAAAGCTTCCCTGGCAGTCAGTGTAGGATGCGGGACACAGTGATATGTAATCACTTTTTTTTATTAATGTCCCACCCCCTCTATGTTGCTGGTCTGGCCTGGGGGTGCGGTGCTTTGGGAACTTGAGATATTATTAATATTTCTGAAGTAACTAATCCCAGCCCTGCTCTTTCCTTTTCCCATCCCACCCCAGCCTTCCCCACTCTTGATTATAAATCTCTTAATTGTTCTTGCTTCTTGTGGTGATTCATCCCTCCAAATCCTCAGCACTGTATTTGTGGCACGTAAAACGTGGTGTTCGTGCTGTTTCTGTGCAGGCTTTATCGCGACAGTGCGTCACCCACGTCCATCCCTGTAGCCCCTGGCAGCTGAGCTGGGGGTCTGGAGGTCGACCAAGAGCCTGGTGTGGTGTTACCATTGCTCAGTGAGAGGGAGAAGACAGGGTTAAAAGCAGCCAGAGAAAATAACTAGCAGTTGAGAGCTGTTTGAATCTAGAGGGTTGATTTATTATAGGGATTTTCTAATCTGGGCTGACTTTAACCTAATTTATTAAGCAGAAGGATTTTAATTCAGTCTAAGCCTCCTTTAATGAGGAGGGCACTCATGGTTTATTCAACCTAACCAGATTCCCACACGGGTTAAACTGCTTTTAAAGTGCTGCTCAGACGTAAGCGAGGGGGTTGAGTACATGGCTCAGCACAGCTTCAGAACAGGGGCAGCTCCGAAAGTCCTCCTCACCCCACAAGAAGACATTGTGTTTGTAGTGGTCTTTAAGGCCAACAGGAGGCAAGAACGTGCTGCCACCCCCCTTCCCAAGGACCGAAGGCCACATGTCCCTGTCCTGTGTGCCACAAGTGGTCACTCGAGAGGAACATACGCTGTCGGCGAGAGATGGGAGAGGAGCCATAAGGGCTGGTAAGGCTCGGTCCTGCCCACTGCAAGCGTTCCCAGCTGCATGGGCAGAGCTGGGGACATGGGGGCAGCTGGAGAGCTGCTCCTCTGAGTCACAAATGTGCCATCTTGCAGGGCCCGGAGGTCTGTGCCCCAAAGCCTTTGGTTGGGGAGCGAGGCCTGGCTCACATGGGGGACGCGATGGGGAAGGGAAGGACCAGAGAGGGTGCGGGGTGTCTGTCCTTGAGCTGCTCCAGCAGCAGGAGGGATGAACGTGAGGTCCTGGGACTGCTGTGGCTGCAGTTCCTATTTATGGGTCTTTCATTTCCAGGAGACTTGAAACCCCTGTAGTTACTTGGTCTCACATCCTGGAGCAAGGTTTGTTTCTGGATGAGAGTAAAGGATTTGGGTCTCTAAATGCTATGATTGAGGAAGGACAGAATATTACCTCTCAAGTTTGTTCTTTTATTTATTTATTTATTTTGCTTTAGGTGATAATAAACCTGCTGTTTGATTTAAGTGCTACAACAGAAAAGACACAGTATGAAAAATAAACCCATAAAAAATGCTACTTTATTCAAGCAGTGACTCTGCAAGCTGCCTGAGCCAGTCTGCAATGCTGTGGGTCTACAGTGTACACGCGTGGTGGGATGGGAGATGCCTTCTGCATCTCTCTCTGGAGCCTTTTCCTTGGTAAACGGGTGAGAAACCTGCAGGTTTCCTCCTGCTTTGCAGTTCTAGGAAGGAGACCAACACGGGCCGTGCGTTACAACCTGACGTGTGAGCCGTGCCTGCCCTGCTCCTCTGATGGACGCTGCTGTCTTCAAGGCAAGGTTGTCTCATCCAGCTGTACATTGGCTCCCGAATGCCTGTAGCATCCAAGCCAGTGGATAATCGCCGTGAGTGCAGAGGTGCCCTTAAGCACTGCTGATTTCTAACAACCCTCTGCCTTTTTTTAAGTGACAGCTGCCGGACCCATTCCCAGTGTCATTCCTTTCCTAGAGGATTTTCACTCTGTGTTGTTTTTTTTTAAATCTACTTCAGTGCTCACAGTTTAATTTCAAGCTAAGCTGAAACTAAGCTTTGCTCAGAGTGGGTTTGCTGTGCCATGCTGAGGACCCCCTCTGCAGATACCCGTCTTCTAAAGAGAAAACCTGGATGCTCCATGCGACAGCAGTTCGTCCAGCTGGGATTTTCTCTCCCCAAAATAAGAATTGCTTTGAAGCAGCACAGGCTGGAGGGAACAAATTCACAGGGGCCCTTTTTGGGGTGTTTATAAGCTTCTGAATGGGCTTTAATTGTAGTTTGCTATTTGAAAATGGGAAGTAATGAGCTTAATCTGTCGCAAGGGAGATTTAAGGTAGTCATTAGGAGAAGTCTTTTATGGAGGATGTTGAAGTGCTAGAGCTGCCTGGCTGAGAAGAGGAAACCCAGTGTCTGGGGTTTTGTGGAGTGGGGTAGATGATCACCTTTGGGGAACATTATAAGAAGCATTTGTTCTAGTGTGTGGCCCAGGCTGGGCAGTGGGAGATGGTGATTGCATTTCATTTGATGTAAAAATGGCTTTTCCATCATCACAGGGACATGGACTGTCTCTAGTCTGGCTTTCCTGGATCTTAATTTTTTCTGACCATTAATTACAACATCATTACTTATTCTAATTATACAGAACTCTAACTTTTCTGATTTTATTCTCTTTCCTTACACACAATGACCTTGTGGACCACGCCACTGATTCAAGTCAAAGCTGTTGAAGAGCTTATTAGGTCTTGATGGTGTCAGGTTGAGCATATGGTCTGGTGCCATCTGTATTGTGAGAATCAAACACATATGGTTTCTCAAGCGTGCGATTGAAAAGTTAGCAGTGCTTATCTGTGGGTGTTTTATGGATGTCCGTCTGCATCTGGAGGAGCTATTCAGTTACCAGTGTAACTTCTAGAGCCGAAGACGGATTAACCTTTGCTTTATGGAGAGAACCAGCCTCTGAATCGAACAGTTTTAAGTCTTTGACTTATCTGCAGAAAGGATTTTTTTCCCTTCCGCTCGCCAGCTTCTGGAAACTTCAGCTTTGTGGCTCCTGTCAGCTGAGCAAGCAGCATCTTCTTACTGTTTTGCCCGCTGTGGATAGGTCAGGTTTCACCTGAAGCTGAACGTGGGGAGAGAGTGTGAAAAGCAGTCACCTTAGCAAGACCAAAAAACTCAACTTGTAATTAGTTAAAAGGTGTGTAATTAGAAAGATGCTTTACAGTTAAGGTTTAAATTAGCCTAGAGCTAAGACAAGTTTAGCACAGCTTGTCTTTAACCGCTTGCCCTTGCAAAACCACACCCTTTCTAAAATAAGGAAGCCACTGACTTTTGGCTGGTTTTAACTTCAGCTTTATGAAAAGGTTTTCTGTTCTGTTATGGGTGGGTTTTGGTGACCCATTGTCAAGCACGCACCAGCTGGTGCTGTCTGGCGAGCTGCAAACCTGCCTGCTTTCATAGCTAGGGAGAGAGCTGGACATTTATTTACAGACTCTTATTTACAGACTCTTGACAGGGAAGCAGGACCCAAAGGCTGTGCTTTTTGGCCTTGGCTTTGCTGATCTGTGGTAGGCTTGATGCTGGCTTGAATGGAATCAATAGGAAGATAGCTTTGCTCTTTGAAGACCTGAATAAAAGACTGTTTGGGGTTTGTTGTTTATAAGGTTTGTGGCCAGGGTTGTATGTAAGGAAGAAACTCAGCAGGTTTATTTCAGGCAAGGCCTGGGGCTAAAACAATTGGTTTAACTATTTTCAGGGTTTCCTACAATGTTATCAGAGCTCCACAGGTCCTGCTTCCTGCAGTGTGAATCGGGATGATAAAGTGGGGCTGCATCTCATGCTTGGCAATAGGAAAAAAGGAATTGCACTGTTTGTTGTAAAAATAATTGCATTAGTGCCATTTGCAGGTTAAGGCCCTTTCTTTCTTTCGCTGCTTTCATGGGGGGAAAATACAAAATCATCCCCCACCTTGGTTATCAGTCCTCTTTCCATAGTCCATACCTTTATATCCAGCAGTGAGGCCAAATATTGACTCAAATTCCTCACTCTTCATCATGTACTCCTAAAAAGCACATTTCCTAAGTGCTGGAAATGGGAAGAAGGTTTTGAATGATTGGAGCATGGTCCTTGGACAGACTGGCAGCAGGGAGCAGCGCAGGTGGACCAGGTGAGCTTGTTGGTGGGATTGAACACGGATGCATGAGACAGCCACCTCCAAAGCGTGATTAAGGGGGACTTTCAGAACGGAACCTGGAAGGCTGCAGACTTTGATGAAGAGGAACTCCATTTCGTGAGAACCAGGACATCACGGGTAACGGTGAGGCTACGTATGAGTCCATCACGGGAGCTGTCAGGAATTCCTGGCACGGGTCTTGTATCCATACGAGCTGCAAAACTGCACGCCTGCGTTGGATCAGTCACAGGGTAAAAATGATCAGGGACGGAGCTGGACATTTTCCCTCTGGCACGAGGGGTGCAGGGAGCCTGCAAGGGTGAAAAATGGCTCTTAAAACGTCTCTGCCTTCCTTTTGCCTGCTGAGCCTGCATTTCCCAGGGATGGATGTGAATCAGGATGGTGAATCAGCTCAGCCCTGATAAGACAAATCTGTTTTGTAGCTGTCCAGGTAAAGCACAGCCCCAGTCTCACCCCTAAAAGTTGGTATTAGGGTTAACACTTTCCATGTACCTGGGCTCCTACTTCCCAGATC